CCCGGACCTGTGCCTACCCCAGCCGCGGCACACGGCCCCGCGCCCGCGCCCGCCCTCACCTCCTCGGTCCGGGCCGCCACGCCGCACTCCTCCTCGCGCCTGCCTCGCGGATGGTGGCAGCGGCGACTCAGACCCTGGGGTCAGGGGGACGGACGCCCAGGCCGGAAGTGACCTTCCCGGCCGCTTCCGCCCGCGCCGCTCCCCCTCCCCTCCCCTCCCCCTCCTCCGGGGCTGCCACCCCGTCCTCGCGGCTGTAGGCCAGCGCCCCCCCACCCGTCCCGACCCCAGGCCTCCGCCCCCAAGCTCTATGGCGCTGAGCGGCGCCTGAGGGAGCCACTTCCGGACGCGTCTAGGACCGGAGTCCTCCGTGCCCGCTCTATGGCGCCTCACGCCGAGGGGCTACGGCCCCGCCCCTCCCAGGACAGCAAGCGCGGCGCGGCCCGTTAGGCGCAGACTTCCGGGTGTCGGTGCCCCCCCCCTCGCTCGCGCCTGCGCGGTGCGTGCCGCGGCGGGGACGCTCGCGCCACCCGGGTCATCCTAGCGTCTCTATCGTCATAACCCCTTCCGCGCCGGCCCCAGCTAGTTGTTCGGACCGCTGCGCGCGCGACCCCAGGCCTTCTTCAGCCTCGGTTTCCTCCTTCGTAAAGAGATGACCCATGCTGTACTTCCACCAGGTCCTGACAGCGACCGGGGCCGCAGAGTGGTGCTGTACCCGGTTTGCAAAGGACGGGAGGTCAGGTCACTTACCCAGAGTGACTCGAGGCATGGCGGAGCCCGGGCGCCCCGCGCGCCCTACAGCGCCTTCGCGGTGCAAGCTGGGTGTACACGCGGTGGCCCGCCGCCGGCCTTGCGGGCTGCGCCTCGGTCCTGCCCGGACCTGGCCCGCTGTCCCCATATCCACCCTAAGCTGCAGATCATTTATCGTTTATTACTTATAGTCACTTTTCTGTTGTCGCCACTGGAGCAGCCACCAAGCTAGGGAGTGGGAACACCCTCCCCAGCCTCCCGCCTCACCTGTGAGATGGGGTGCGGGCGACCACGCGGAGGTAACGCGCGGGAAGGTGGCTTAGTTCAGTGCCTGGCTGTGGAAAACCCCATCGGCCACCGCAGCGATCACTGCGTACCGACAGCACTGTCTCCTGCTCTGGCTGGTCAGTGCAACTCCTAGCGTGTGCTTTGCTGCTTTAATAACATTGTCACAGGGAAAAGCAGATTTAAAACCTGAGCTGGGCGTGGTGGTGCACACCTGTAATCCCAGCACTCGGGAGGCTGAGGCAGGAGGATTGTTGCGAGTTCGCAGCCAGCCTTAGCTACAAAGTGAGCTCTAGACCAACTTGAATGGCATAGCGAGACCCTGTCTCAAAAAGACAAAAAAAAAAAAAAAGATTTAAGACCTGGAGGTGACCAAACAAATACTGTATTAAAAATGTGTGCCGGGGGCTGGGGATTTAGCTCAGCGGCAAAGCGCCTGCCTGGC